CCCATCCATCATAAGGGAACAGGCATTACTGCTACGGGGTTGCTGAGAATAAGATGCACTTCGCACAGCATAGTAATGAATGGTGGCAGAAAACAGGTCTTTTAGGCTCCTCTCCCCACCTAGCCAGCCTCTTTCCTTTCTGAGAGATGAGATTATTTTACCCCCAAGCCCCGCTTGTCCTTCGGAAGCCAAATTTTACTGTGGATTCAGGCACCAGGAAACGGTTGCCAAGGGCAGGGCTTTGAATAGGGATGCTTGTTGCCTAGGAAACTGCCCCACTCCGGGTTCCCTGGGGTCCCACCGGTCGATGGGTCCTGGCGCCATCTGCCGGACACAGTGCCACACTGCTTCTGAAGCTCCCAGACCCGGAGTCCCGCAGCCTGGAGCAGGGAACACTCGTCTTCCCCTTCTGCTCCCCAACATCTCCACATAAAAGGTCTTTGCTCCTTTTGCCCTCAGATTTTCCCAGAGATTAAAGGAATGGGAAGGAGTTGGAAGTACTGTGGAGGATGAGAGTGATGTCCTTCTCTACACAGAAAGAAAGAGGACAGGGAAGCAGGACTCCTGGGAGCCTGGGGTCCGAGGGCATCTGTCCCCTAATTGATTTCCCCAGGCTTGCAATCCATTTGGAAACCTTGTTTCCCACTACCCGGCTTTCCACGGGGAGGGAGCCATGTAAATGAAGAGGTTAAAGTTGAGGTGGGAGAGTGACATGTGGGCCACAGCAAGGTCCCTGGTGCAACATCCCCTCATGGTGAGCCGCTCAGCTCCTCCTGCTCCTAGACCCGAGTCCCCTTTTCTTCTCTGGGGAGAACCTTCCTACCCACTTGATAGTTGCCAGGTGAAGCCCTTGGAGCCTCAGATCGTCCTGTCCACTGGCAGAAGAGGGAGAAGCAGAAAGGTGCCTGCTATGAAACCAGGATTCCTGAATCCAATACCCGCCCGAGGCAGCCTCTGGACTTGGCCACTCGAGGTCAGCCTGCCCTGAAAGGTGAAAGGGGAAGTGAAATATGTGAAGTTGGGATGCCTGGGGTTGGGAATGTGCCTCTTTCCCTTTTAGGATCACAAGTAGAAAAACTGAGGCATGGGGTGAGCAAAAGTCTAGTCTTTACCTATTCCAGGCTAATACCACATCTTGCTATCCAGATACCTTCTCTCCAGCTCTAGCTGGGCTGGGGTAGGGGTGGAAGATGAAATTGACTTGGGAGCCAACACCCTGGCCCTCACCCCAGAAGCTGATGTTGTCAATGGGCTTAAGAGCAGGTGAAGCAGGAGGCTGGGGACCAGGTCTTCTGAGTCCCTGACCCCAGGAGGGGGGACCAGTTTTCCCTCCTGAGCTGAGCCAGGAGGGTAAGCAAGGAGGCTGGTGCTGGTGATGTCTGCGCCCTGTAGGTGAGAAGCCCTGCCCTGAGGACAACAGGTGTGAGAGGTGGGGGCTGGGTGCTCTGGCCTAGAAGAGGCCACATGGGCTGGAGGCTCTGACCCAGTCACTGCCCTCTGCCCAGGATTCCCTGCCTCCAGACTCTCCTCAGCAGGAGGTAGGAGGGCTTCAGGGTTACAGTGAGGTGGGCAAAGTTGGTCTCCCAACTTCCTGATTAGCTGAGTCTGAGTGTCAGGCGGTAGTGGGACCAGAAAGGCTGAGGTGGGAATTTGGCCCTTACAAGCCAGAAGGGATCCTGAAAGAATAAAAAGCTCCAAGGAAGGGCAGAGGGAGGAGCCACCTCCCCCAACCCGCCATGCCCCAATGGCTGGGTCCTCCCTTCCTCTCCAGCCCCAACTCCAGATGTGAGGAAAGGGGTGGAGGGAGAGACGGAGGGCAGCTGAGTGGCTCACCGCTGGGCTCTGCCCCTGCCTCCCCTCCAGGCTGACTGCCCACTTCCTGATTGGCACTGGTGCCACAGAAGCTGAAAGGAGCCTCAGAGGGCTACTCCGGTCCCCCCTGAATTGTGTCATGCCATCTGAGGTCCCCGTTCTCAGTCCTTGGAGCCTGGGGGAAGGTGAGGCCAGAGGCGTGGGCCGCCCACTCCTCCTCCTCCTCTTGGTCCCCCATCGTGCACCAGAGATGGCTCCACTGCTACCCCCTGATGTGAGGGTAACTTGACTCTCCTGCTCCACACACCTGCACGGTAGCCTGGGCCTCCCAGGGTCTCCTGGCCCTACCTGCTGCTCCTGCCCCTGCCCTGGCTGAGGGCAAGGGTGGCTGCCTAGGCCAAGTCCCTGCGGCTCCACCTGGCTGGTGGCTTTGACGCGCTGGCTGGGAGAGTGCACTGAGCCATTTCCTTCGGGGTGGCCTGGTTCGGGCTGCCTGAATACTGGTGTTGATGCAGTGGTCCTAGGGCACTGGTTGGCCACCTGCTGGCAGTGCACCCTCTCCTTGGGTGGCTACACCTTTGCACAGATGCTGCTGCCCACAAGCTGGGACCTGGGGCACCACAGCAGCACGGTTCAGCACCTGTGGGGCCATATCTTCACCAACCCGGTGGTGGGCAGCCTGGACCGCATGGTGCTGGGTGTGTGCTAGGGAGGGGTGAGCGGGTGCCTGTGCTGCACAGACCTGGCTGGACTCCAGGTGGGCAGGTAGTTCTGTTGACCGAGGCAGCTCTGATCTGCATTTCTCCCAAATGTGGTTCTGGGCTGCCTCGGAACATCCACCTGCTGTGGCCTTCCTACCCAGAGTCTCCCTCCCTTTGACCCACTTGAGCCTCCTGCACTGTGGCTGAAATTGCAACACAGAGTGAGTGTGGCCTGGGTCCACACTTACATGAGTTTACCGCCCAGGCAACGGGAGGACCCAGAAGACACAGTAAGACTCATTTACTCACACCTGTAATCCCAGCACTTTGGGAGGCCGAGGCGGGTGAACCACCTGAGGTCAAGAGTTTGAGACCAGCCTGGCCAACACGGTGAAACCCTGTCTCCACTAAAAATACAAAAATTAGCGGGGCGTGGTGGTGGGTGCCTGTAATCTCAGCTACAAGGCAGCCACCGTTGCCCCTAGCCAGGGCAGGGGCAGGGGCAGCAGGTAGGGCCAGGAGACCCTGGGAGGCCCGGGCTGCAGTGCAGGTGTGTGGAGCAGGAGAGTCAAGTTACCCTCACATCAGCGGGTGGCAGTGGAGCCATCTCTGGTGCACTGTGGGGGACAGAGCAGGCTGGAGTGCAGTGGTACAAACTCGGCTCACTGTAACCTTCACTTCCCGGGTTCAAGTGACTCTCCTGCCTCAGCCTCCTGAGTAGCTGAGACTACAGGCACCTGCCACCACGCCCAGCTAATTTTTGTATTTTTAGTGGAGACCGGGTTTCACCATTGTTGGCCAGGCTGGTCTCAAACTCCTGACCTCAGGTAACAGAGCAAGACTCTGTCTCAAAAAGAAAGAAAAAGACTCATTTACTGAGCACCTGTAACCTTCCATGTTCTCACGAAATCCTTGGCAGTGAAGCCTGGAGGTGGGTGCTGTGTCATCTGCTTTGCTTAGGACACGTGCTGTGGCAAGTCTTCGACCATGTAACTAGATGCACAGAATTCCTCTAAAACAGTAATTCTCTAACTTTAGTACGTATCAGAATTGAGGGGCTGAGTAGCAACCCAGAGGCCCAGAGCCGATCTTCCTACGGCAAGCCTAGGGCTTGTTACTAGCTCTCCAGGTGATTCTGACATGCACCAAACTTCCAGAGCCACTGTTCTTAAATCTCCTCTAGAAGGGCCATACTAATGCTACCATACCTCAAGTAAGGGGGAGATTACTTACAGTAATTCATCCTATTGGTCAGCTTTATTGACCAACTAGGTTTAGTTCAAAAGGGAACTCCTCCCTTTGAACCTCTCATGCCCCTGATTCAGAGTGACTTGGCATTTACCTGAAAACCCTTAGCTCTTTCCCATTTCAATGGCTGCTCAAGCTGCCATTGATTTTTGTAAACCAATGCACAAGACAGACCATGGAACATGGCCATTTTGGTCCATCCCATCTCCTGGGACCTGGGCATTGTCCCCCCCCCCCCCCGCCCCCAGCTGGGTTACCTCTCTGACTCAGGTGCTCATCAAGACACCGGGGCACAAGGCCTCCCAGGACTGTCAATGACCCATTCACTTTGCAACAATTCCTGGCGCAGATGTTGAACCAGCTCTGAGCCCACCTGATACTCCTGCTGTCCAGCTCTTCCTTCTTGTCCCTGGAAGCACAAAGCTAAAAAATGATGCAGTGAAAGGCTGGGCCCCGAGCACATGGCTCTCTGGGCCAAAGAGGCCTTGGAGAGGGCAGGTGTTTGCATGGCATGCCAGCAGGGAGCTGAGGGGCCCCTCCCCTTGCCACAGGAGTGTATCCAGATCTTCTTGGCTTGCTCATTCCTGCTGCCCGAGCATCCCCGGCCACCTTCCCTGCCTCTGCCCACTTGAGTGGTGTCTGTACCTTCAATGGACAGCTTTGTGCCCACTGCCCAAGCACAGAGGCACAGGAAGACAATGTGAATGTTCCAAAACCCCTCAACTCTATGGAGTATTCAGCAGGCCATGTGACAGTGCTGTCTCCACCAGCAGGAGTGGAGGCTGCAAGGTGGGTCCTGAGCCGCATATGAGCAGTGGGAGCTGACCCACTCTGCTTTGTACCTACAGGTGTGTTTCGGCAGATGAGACCACAGGCCCTGGCCATGCTGTCCTTCCACCTGTGCCTAGCTGCACCACATGGCATTATGAGGCTGTGGTGGGTGTACTGGCAGCTGACTGTGAGGTCCCAACACGAATCCTACCGCCGTGATGACTCTCCGCGATGCTGCCTGGCTGCGAGGTGCTGACCAGCTTGTAGCAGGTGAACTTGCCAGTGTGGCACAAGCCTGGGAGGCCTCCTGACGTGGGCCCCACCTGTGCCAGCACCCCATCCCCCATGCCGCCTGCACTACTGCAATGCCCTCATCACCTTCCTGGGGACACAGGGCCTGGTGCCACATTCCACAGCCCAACTCCAATGGGGCTCCAGCCACCCAATGGACAGGGGACACAGAGGATGGTGGAGACATTTGAGACCTGCTTGATTTATTCCGATTATTTAATATACAATGACGCAATTGTAATCCCAAAGTGTGCAAAGTTAAAGCCTTCAACTGCAGCTGAGGAGAGGGCAGGAATGGTACACCTGGGGACGGTGGTGAGTCAGGAATGACGGGCAGGCGGCCATGACCAGGGCAGCCTCCTCCCCAGGGCCAGGGACAGGGAAGTGGCCTCAGGAGCAGGAACCAAGAGTAGCCCAGGGCCGGGGAAGGGGGCAGAGACCTCCCCTTGGCCTAGGTCAGGAGCTCAGAAGTGCCACATGGCTAAGGGGGCAGCGGCCCAGGAAGGGCCAGAGGCAGGGCCAGGAGAGCACCATTTCCTAGGGGGCTGGGGGCAGGGAGGTGCCCTACAGGAGAAGCCAGGAGGGGCCGCCTGCCCCTGGGGTGGGGGCTGGGCTGGAGCAGGCTGCAGCAAGAAAGACCTGAGGCAGGCGCAGGGCCTGAGATCCCGGCTGGCTGGGCTTGGGTGGGGGGCTCCCAGGGCAGCCTGGCCCAGGGAGCAGTCCTGACTCTGTGGGGGATGCCCAGCAAGGGGCCGCAGGCCCCTCGGGACCTCCCCCCATCTCCCTGGAAAGGAGCTGGGGAACCCGTAGTGCAAATCTGTGGACCACTCAGTTATGGAGGGAGGCTGCGTCTGAAGGCGGACACTGGGGTGTGCCCCCTCCGCCACCTCGGCCTCCGCTGCTGTCCTCAGTACAGCCGCTTCTCGTAACTGTGGGGACAAGGCAAGAGGGAGAACCAGCGTGGGTGTGCGGACCCTGCTCCCTCCCAAAACCGTTTCCCCAAGGCCCCCAGATGCGGGAGAGAGCAGAGAGCTGAGGAGCCCTGGGATCTCAGCCGTAAGGGGCGGGAGGAGGACCTCGAGCAGGCCCGGGGCCTGTCCTCCCCAGGCCAGCGTTCCCTGAAGAGCCGTGCTGGGTTCAGAGACAGCCATGCTCCTTTGGGCCATCACCACATCTGAGTGGACTGTCCTCAGTGCCCGGGGTGGAGAGACAGCTCACACAGGCACGGCGCATCCTCATGGAGCAAGCTCCGACCCGGAGCCCAACCTCGGCTGCCCGTGTCTGCACCCAGCCCCAGCCCCGCAGGCACAGTGGCCTAGACTGCTCGTGGTCACTGGGTCCAGTCTAAGATGGGGCAACCTTAGGTGTCAGCTCACGGGTGTCTCTCTGCAGCCAGAAAGGGATCTGTGTTTCAGCTGGATGAGTGGCCACCGCTGGTTTCTTCCACCATGGTGCTGGATATAGGGGGCTGGGGGTCCCAACCCAGGGTCCATGTCTCATGACCACACCCCAGTGCCCTGCCACCCTCACCCAGTACCCACCCCCCCAACAAGCCCAGGTCCCGCCCAGACTGCCCCTGCTCTACTCTACGCTTGGCCCGGGCAGCGCGGTTACTTACACGGCAGAAAGGTATAGCTACGGGAGGGTGGGGCGGAAAGAGACACAGGTTAGACACCCGCTGATGCCTGGGGACAGGGCTCCTGACCAGGGCGGGGCACATGCCTGCAACTACCGCTGCCAATGAGCACTGCCCCCGCCCATGGATGCCCCAGCACCAGCCCTGGCATCCGTCTCTCTGCCCTTGTCCCGCCAGAGGGGTCATACCCCCATCTTCTGCCTGCCTGCCTGGTGCCACCACCAGCAAGAGCCCAGCACCACCAGCCCTACCACCAGCCACCAAGCTTCCTGAACAAGCAAGGGCTGGGAGTCCAGATGCAGTGAGTGGCCACATCTCCTGTGCCCTGCTCAGGAGAGGCCCCAAAGGAGGGGAGGGCCTGCCTGCATGGGGGCTAGAGGACAAGGAACAGGGGGCTGGGCCCTGGAGGAGAGGGTGACGGGCCATCCTGCAGCAGCATCTGTCCCTGCTGCAGGTAGTCCATGGGGTCCCTGGAACCTCAGCTTGGCCTCAGAACCTTGGCCCCACCTGCCCAACCCGCTGCCTGCAGGTGAGAGCGAGGAGGCCACACACTTACGAGTGCAGGCCATGGACGCCACCCTCGATCTGGGCCGACATGGTCCGCTTCTCAAACTTGAGCTCTCCTGAGTACATCATGGACCTGGGAGGCAGGGAGGTGGAGCAGGTCAAGGCCACCAAGGGTGGAGAAGAGAGAGAGAAAGGAAGCAGAAGCCGCCCCCAGTCTCAGCACTCACCGAAGGACGGACAAGCTGCGGGCCCCGATATCCTGGCAGCCATGCTGGATGCCTGCTATGAGGTAGGGCACGAACTTCTGAATGGACCCTTTGTCCTGGATGGAGCCTGAGACACCCTGTGCGATCTTCACCTTATCCCCCTCGCTGTGTGGAGGGTGGAAGACTGAGCCCAGCAGCGTGACACTCAGAGGACCCCACCCAGTCAGATTAGGGGCCAGCCCACCCCTAAGAGCACCACAGGGGATTCTGATGGGGGAATCAAGCTCGGAGGATACCGCCCAGGAGGGTCCTCCAGGCTGCTCCTTGCTGGGCAAGTAGCCCTGAGTCAGGTGGCCCAAGGACAGAGCCTGTATCTGCTAGTTATCCCCTGTGCCTCAGTTTCCAGGACCACCATATGGGACTGGCCGCCATCTGGGGAAGTCGGTGGTGTGGGTGGCCCTGAAGGGTTGTGGGCTGATCTGCCCAGGTGGGGCCCAGGAGCAGGGCACCTGAAGTATCGTTTCTGGCTGCTGCTGCTCTTCTCCATGGCATCCAGCGAGCCCATGCCCCGGTATTTCTTGAGCCGCACTCCGTCTGAGAAGAAGTACTCTCCAGGGGCCTCCGTGGTGGCGGCCAGCAGGGAGCCCATCATCACTACAGTGGGCAAGGGATTAGTGCCTCCAGCCCACAGCCCTCCTACTGCCCCCACCTGCTCAATCCCCAGCACATTCTCCCCTCACCTGTGGAGGCTCCAAGGGCCAGGGCCTTGACCACGTGCCCCACGGTCTGGATGCCGCCATCAGCTATGATGGGCACACCAAAGCGCCGAGCATACTCAGCCACCTTGTACACAGCAGTGCCCTGGGGCCGACCGCAGGCCATCACTGGGGGAGGGTGGAGTGCACAAGGCAGAGAAGAGTCAATGGCAGCTCCAGGGCCAGGCACAGGGCCAGGCCAGCTATTCCTCCCCATGCACCACCTCTACTCGGGAAGAGGGACAGGGCTGGACGGCGTTTCTGAGGCATAACATAGGTGCTGGCACTTAACACCAGGGTGAATGTCACTCCAGGGATCTGGGCCACCCCACCCCTAAGAGCATGGCAGGGGATCCTGATGGGGGAATCAGAAGCAGCTTTCAGAGTCTGTCACCCCAAGACAGGTGATCCCAGCCCCACCTGCTCCCAAGGCACAAGTTCCCCTTCAAGGCTTTCATTTGCAAAAATTGTTACTAGGGTTAGGTACTATGGTCCCCTTCAGGATACTGGTTTGTATTTCTTTAAGTCTAACTGTCCAAGGTCCTTCAGTGTCAGGTTTAGGTGGGGACTGAAATGAACCAGCACCTATCTAGGGATGGATGCAAAGCTGGATAAACCAGAGATGGGGCCTCTCATTTGTTTTGTCCCTGCTCTACCCTAAGGCTTTGAATAGTGCCTGAGACATGTAGGTGTCCAATTATTATTTGTTATGTCAGTGAGAAAGGGTCCTCATTTCACCATGGTGGTCAGCTAAGGTGAAGGTCACTAACTTAAAAAGCAGAGGCTCTGAAGACCAACAGGGAGAGCTGTTTAGGGCAGCAAGGGCCAAAGGCATCACTCAGTGTTTTGGAGAAATGACCCTCACAGGAGGGGCCGGGGGCATCTCCTCAGGCCAAGCCAGGACCCCAGTCCTCCAGGCAGCCACCCCCCAAGTCAGACACCAGCCTCCAGGAAACACCTCCTTAATAACCACATGGGGGACACATGTCAGGGCCCTCCTTCCCCCTTCGTGTTCATGAACCCATCCTGCAAAAGGGCTTTCTAATTGGGTGGAGCTCCCCACCCCCCAACCTCATGCTGATGCGGTATATAATATGTCCTTACATATTCAGGGACACGCTGTCTCTATCTCGTCACAAATCGAATCAAACCCTGAGCTTCCAACAAGCCCCTTGGACAGTCACACCAGCCCCAGGCCCCAGGTGGGGCCCCCTTGACCACACTCTGAGAAGTAGGCTGGAGCTCTCTCGTCCTGCTTACACCTGCCTTCCCCTAAGTCAGTGGGCCCCGACGGTGGGGTCCATGCCTGGGTCACCCCAGAGCCCACCATGGCAGAACAGGGCCTGGCAGAGAGGGCACTCGATATGCAGCTGGGGAACAAGGGCGAGGCCCCCAGGCCAGCGGGCACTCGCTCACCTCCTGACACCCACCTTCCTGGGTGATGCAGATGGAGCCGCAGCCCATGCCCACGCGCAGCCCATCCACACCAGCGTCAATCAGGTTCTTGGCCTGGGCTGCTGTCACCACTGGAGGTGGGAAGGGGCAGAGGAACAATGTGAGGATGGGATGCCCCTGCCTGCCCAATGGCTTCCTGGGACCCCAGGTAGCACCCCCAACCCCCTTATGGTGACCAAAGCCCATCATGCTCCCTGCCACCCATGCCAGGAGCCATGCCATCACCTAGGGAAGCTGAAGGGCAGGAAGGGGTTACTCAGTGGAGGGGAGGAGCAGCAGGGAGAGAGGCAACCCTGACCCGGCACTCACCGTTCCCCCCAATCACCTGGAGGTGGGGGTACTTCTGTTTGATGTAATGCACCATGGCGATCTGATACACCGAGTTCCCTTGGGACGAGTCCTGTGAGAAGGGATGGAAGAGCTTGGACTTAGACCGCTGAGGACTCTCAAGGCAGGAGGGAGAGCCTGAGTGGATGAACCGCGAAAATCCTGTGAAAAATGTCATGAGAATCCTCTTTCCTTCCATTTTTGTTTTTGTTTTTTTTTTTTTCCTGGAAATTCACTTAACAACTTTCAGTTGATTATCAAAGGGGACTGCATCCCCAAAAGGTTAACCACCACTAACGTAGTTTTAGAGTAGATATGGCCTTAAATTTTTTTTTTTCTTTTTTGAGACAGAATTTCGCTCTTGTTGCCCAGGCTGGAGTGCAATGGCACAATCTCAGCTCACCACAACCTCTGCCTCCTGGGTTCAAGCGATTCTCGTGCCTCAGCCTCCCAAGTAGCTGGGTTACAGGCATGCACCACCATGCCCAGCTAATTTTGCATTTTTAGTAGAGATGGGGTTTCTCCATGTTGGTCAGGCTGGTCTCGAACTCCTGACCTCAGGTAATCCACCTGCCTCAGCCTCCCAAAGTGCTGAGATTACAGGCATGAGCCACCGCGCCCAGCCGATAAGGCTTTTCATATTCGCTATACAGACTGATCCTTACAGCAAGGAGAAACTGCCTGGAGCCATATCCTCTTCCCCTCAAGTCACTAACCAAATGAAATGACTTAACTTCTTCAAGCCTGTTTCTTCATCTGGAAAACAAAATGGCGACTGTCCCTCAAGGGGCTGATATACATAAAGGTCTTGACGCAGTGCCTGGCAAACAGGCAGTTCTCAGTGAACAGGAGCTAAATTATTAGGGTCAACTTATGAGCCAAGAAGGCCCTCAGAGGCCTTTGTTTGCAGTCTCTTGTGAGCTGCTGAGATAGTGCCAGTGACCCTCCTATTGTTATTTTCCTGCCAGTCCTAGAATACAGATAAATCTAGATGTATGGTCCAGATCACTCACAAGGGGATCATAAGCCTTTATCCTCATTCTACTTCTCTTTGCTGAGGCGTGGTCTTGATTTGCATTTGTTGCTTACAGCAATTTGTCATTTTTTCAAAGACTCAGTGTGTACTTGTGCCTGCTAGTTAAATGGGCATACTGCATACTGGTGAGAAGTGGGCTTCCAGGGTACCTAATACCCATATAGAGAAAACTGTGGTTGATGAGGAATTTTTCATCCTTCCTCCCCCTCCCAGCCTCACCCATTTTGGAGTCCCCAGTATGTATTATTTCCATCTTAAAGAACACGTGTGCCCTCTGTTTAGCTCCTTCTTATACGTGGGGCATGCAGTGTTTGGTTTTCTGCTTTGGCATTAGTTCTCTAAAGATAACGGCCTCTAGCTCTGTCCATGTTGCTGCAAAGGACAGAGTTTCATTCTTTCTTGTGGCTGTGCCATTGGAGAAATTTAACTTGCTTGTTTTCTTTCTTTGTATCTCAGACGACACAAACCATCGTTTGTTTTTTGAGAGGGTCTCGTTCTGTCCCCAAAGCTGGAGTGCAGTGGCATGATCCTAGCTCACTATGACTTTGAACCCCTGAGCTCAGGTGATCCTGCTGCAGACACTCCTGATTCTGACACCAGGGAGCACTTGGAAGCAGAGAGGAAGAGTAGCAAGGGAGGGGCACAGGATTAATCACAGGTGAACCTGGGTCCTCATGAACCTCCACTCTGCTGAACCACCCAGCCACCTTCCCCACCACCCAGGTGGGACCTTACCAAAACGATGACATCAACGCCTGCCTGGGTGAGCAGGTCCAGGCGGTATTTGTCATCCTCACGGGTGCCCACAGCTGCCCCGCACAGCAGCTGTTTGTGGGAATCCTTGGAGGCCAGAGGGTAGTCTCGGTTCTTCTTCAGGTCGGTGCGGGCAATGATGGCCACCAGCTCATCATGATCATTGACAATAGGCAGCTTTCCTGACAAGGAATGCAGGGGTAAGATGAAGAAGCAGGTTGGCAGGAAGGGGTTTGGGAGGTGTTGGGGAGGGTGAAGATGCAATTGAGACCATGCCAGAGATTCCACTGACGTACCCCAGGCAGCCACTAGGTGACAGCACCTCCCAGGAAGTGTTCCTAGGGACACAGAGCTCTTCCCAAGCAACAGGAAGCAAAGAAACCTCTCAGCCCAGCAGGTTCCTGGGGGGTCTGTGGATGGGCATCAACATGGCCTGGGATGGGCAGCCCCTGAACACTGGCAGCCTTTCACCTGCTGGGCCACAGTGGCTGAAATCTCCTAGCCAGGAGTGAAGCTGCCCTGCAGGGAGAAGCACGTGCTCTGTCCAAAACAAACTCCAAAGAACCCTCCAGTATGGACCAGGGAAGCATTTCCCAGGGTAGCCAACAGTGACCTGGTGAATATTTTATTTTTCCCTTTTTTCTAAAAAGCCAAAGTTGGCCGGGCATGGTGGCTCATGGCTTCCTCTCTTTGGGAGGCTGAGGCCAGTGGATCACTTGAGGCCAGGAGTTCAAGAACAGCCTAGCGAATATGGTGAAACCCCATCTCTTCTAAAAATACAAAAAAATTAGCTGGGTGTGATGGTGTGCACCTATGTACCAAATACTAGGGAGACTGAGGCAGGAGAGTTGCTAGACCTGGGAGGTGGAGATTGCAGTGAGCTGAGTAGCATTGTACTCAAGCCTAGACAACAGAGCAAGACTCCATGTCATAAATAAATAAATAGCCAAAGTTGTGGCCGGGCATGGTGGCTCACACCTGTAATCCCAGCACTTTGGGAAGCTGAGGAGGGCAGATGGCTTGAGGCCAGGAGTTCAAAACCAGCTGGCCAACATGGTGAAACTCCATCTCTACTAAAAATACAAAAAAAAAAAAAAAAAAAAATTAGCTGGTGTAGTGGCACACGCCTGTAATCTCAGCTACTCAGAAGGCTGAGGCATGAGAATCGCTTGAACCCAGGAGGCAAGGGTGGCAGTGAGCCAAGATCGCCCCACTGCCCTCCACCCTGGGTGACAAAGTGAGACTCTGTGCCAAAGTTGTTTCTAGCTAGTAAATATAGAAACAGCTCCAATGTCAAATAAATTTAACTGCAGGACTTCTCAGAGCCTTTAATAAGCTAATGTGCAATTCTTTATGCAAGATAGGGGACAGAGAAAGGAGTTACTTCTCAGGCTTTTAAGACCACAGAGGCTTTGTTTGTGATGAGCAACTCATAGGACTAGTTTTGGGGAACATACTGTGACGATCCTGCATTAGGGACAAGCTTCCCTAAGCCAAGAGAAAGATGGCAGGAATTGTGCTCTGGCCTGCCTGAGGTTATTCAAACCTTTTCCAGGGCCCAATCTGGTTGCTGGGAAAACCTGCGAAGCTCTGAAGAAACAGGGCTATGGACAGGCAGTTAAGCTGGGGGTCAAGTTTTCAGCTAGCTCCCTGGTACCTTTCTTGCTACGCTGCAGGATCTCATTTGCCTCTTTCAACGTCACGCCTGCTGGAGCCACCACCAGCTCGATCCTTGGTGTCATCACCTGTGGGGCCAGGAACATTTGCCTGCAGGTTGGCAGGTGAGAGAGAAGGAGCCAGGCCTCCCTCTGGTCCCTGGTCACAGGCACCAGTCTGAGGCCCCAGCATGAGGGTCCTCTCTGCACCCAGCCGTTTCCCTGCCCTGCAGGTACCTCACTGAGGAGGGTGGTGTGATCCTTCTCAGCAAGAAAGTCGATGTCTCGGGAGGTGACGATGCCCACCAGCTTGCTGCCCATGGTGCCCGTCTCGGTGATGGGGATGCCAGAGAAGCCATGCCGCATCTTGGCCTCCAGCACATCACCCACAGTGTGCGAGGGGCTCAGCACCACGGGGTCCGTGATGAAGCCCTGTTCAAACTTCTGCGGGCAGAGATGGGGGAGGAAAAGGCTGAAAGAAAGCCCGGGATGATGTCTGGGCTGGCCACAGGGAACAGAGGATGTGGCTGTGCCGCAGAGAAGCCAGGATCCTCAGTGGGATGAGGAACCAATGGGAAAATGAGGGTTTGGCCCCATGACCCCACTGAGAGGAAGGACGCCCAGGGAGTGCCATAGTGCAGGGCTGGCAGAGGAGGCTGGGAGGGCCTCTGAGGTGGGTACTGCCAGGTGGCATCTTGCTGGGGACAGGCCTCGTACTTGCCTTGACCTTCCGCACCTCGTTGGCCTGGAACTCTGGGGTGCAGTTGTGGTGAATGAAACCAATACCTCCCATCAGCTGATGTAGAAGGGAAGGAAGGGTGGTTAGAGCCGGGACCCATGTGTCCTCAGCCCTGCCCCTCAACACAGCCCACCACGGTCAGTTCCCATGCCCTGGAGTCCCCACACAGGTGTGTCACTCACAGCCATTGCAATGGCCATGTCGGCCTCTGTCACAGTGTCCATGGGGGAGGAGATCAGCGGTGTCTTCAGCGTGATCTTCCGGGTCAAGGCTGAGGTCAGGTCCTGAGGATGGAGGCACAGCCCACGTGAAGACTTACCACCCTCTGGGCAAACAGTCACCAGCTCCTACATATACCCAGCACCAGGACAGGCCCTGGGGATACGGCAGTGAACAAGGTGGATGAGGTCCCTGCTCCTCCAACGGAGCTTATGTTCTACTTGGAAAGAAAGATGAATGCCAGACAGGACACACGCTCAAGATGACTTCAGTCAGGATGAATGCTGCAGAGAAAAACAAGAAGGCCAAGCGACCACTGGCAACCAGGTGACTGGGGAAAGCTCTTTCCTGGGAGGGGACCGGTGGGAGCCGATTGCATAGAAGTCAGAGGGGCTGTCACTCCCGGCTGAAGGGGCCAAGTGCAAACCTTCCTCAGAGCCCAATTCTTTCGGAGGCACATTTAAGAAAGAAAAAGGTCAGGGGAGTGGAGGGCGCGGAGAGGCAAGAGGAAGGTAGGGGCAGCAGGCATGGCCTCAAAGACTACGGAGAGCTCAGATCCAATTCTGAGAGAAGCCATTGGAGGGTCCTGACAGAGACATAATCTGATTTATGTTTCAAAGAGGTCACTCAGGCTCCGATGTGGAGAACGGATTCTGGGTGACAAGAGCTGAGGTGGGCGGAGGCGTGGAAAAGTCTCTTAGGCAACCAAGAAAGCAAGTGACTAATGGTCTGCAGCTCGAGAGAGTGGACAGGATTCCAAGTATCCATTTAAGAGCCACCTGCCCATGGAGGTAAGGCCAGAGCACATACCCCTCTGAGGGTCAGGCCAACAGTGGTGGACCCCAGCCCCCAAGACATTTGTGCAGACTTTGCTACATAATTTTTTTTTTTTTAGATTCAAAGCCCCTGAAACCCATCACTGGTTCAGAACTCTAGCCCCATGATCTAGAAAACACCACCTTCTCCTCTTACATCATGCCACAGAAGGGCCATAGGCCTCCTGACAGAGGAGGCCACAGGACAGGGAGACCCTCACCAGCCAAGCAGAGATTTTTCTTTTTTCCTTTTTTTTTTTTTTTTTTGAGATGGCGTCTCACTCTGTCACCCAGGCTGGAGTGCAGTGGTGTCACCTTGGCTCACTGCAACTTCCACCTCCCAGGTGCAAGTGTTTTTCCTGCCTCAGCCTCCTGAATAGCTGGGATTATAGGCACCTGCCATCATGCCCAGCTGATTTTCGTATTTTTAGTAGGGAAGGGGTTTCACCATTGGTCAGGTTGGTCTCGAACTCTTGACCTCAGGTGATCCTTTCACCTCAGCCTCCCAAAGTGTTGTGATTACAGGCGTGCGCCACCACGCGCAGCTGATAGGGGTCTTTTCAATCCCTCTCTTCCTAGCAGCCAGCCCAGTGTCTGACACAAAGCCACCATACTCAGTAAACTGTTAAATTGAAGAGCTGCCCCAAGAAGCCTTCCTTGTTGTCATAAGGGAAACAACCAGAATTATCCGGATTTCCCCCGAAACTTTGTCTGGCTCAGCTCTGGCTACACACAGGACATGAGCTTCCCTCACACGTCAGTAATCCAGGCACACTCGGGCCCTCTGGCCTTTCATGAGAATCAGATCAGAATAAATAGCAATATTAATAGCAACAGAAAACAAACAGGTTTTTTTTTTTTCCCAAAATGTGTTATGAATTCATCACAATATCACAGTACTCTTTCTTGCCATGACTTACACCATCATCACTACCCACCTTGTTCTCTGAGTGTATCTTATGTTAATTGTTCATTGATTCAGCTCACTGATGAGCGGCCCCCACCCCACCCCAGGAAATCAAGGCATTGTGTTTCCTTGTATTTATCCGAAATGTAACTCTTTGAAATCCTCTTGCCAGTTCTTATACATTGCAGATCAGTGAACGAGTCTGTCTACCATTTTCAAGTATCCATAATTTTACTGGCTTCTATCATGTCCCTGTTCAGCATTTCGGACAAAATCCAATCCTTATGGTCTCTACGGTAAGACAGCCACTCCCAAGTCCACCCCTCCCTGGCCTCCTCTGAACCTGCCCACAGGCTCTGTCACTGACACAGAGTCATCCAGCCCTGGGCCAGGCCTCACTCAAGACTCCTGTGTCCCCATAGCTGCCTCTGGCCCCATCGGGTATAACCCTTTGATGTCTGCCAGTTTCTCTGGCAACAATAAAGGCTATATCCGCCCATTCCGGCTGGGTGGAATCACCCCTGTAATCACAGCATTTCGGAGGCTGAGGTGGGCAGATCACTTGAGCTCAGGAGTTGAAACCACCCTGGCAAACATGGCGAAACCCCGTCTGCACTAAAAATATAAAAATCATCTGGGGGTCTAAACTAACAATACAAAAATCATCTGGGGGTGGTGGCATGTGCCTGTAATCCCAGCTACATGGGAGGCTGAGGAAGGAGAATCACTTGAACCTGGGAGGCAGAGGATGCAGTGAGCCGAAATCACACTACTGCACTCCAGCCTAGGTGACAGAGTGAGACTCTCTCAAAAAAAAAAAAAAAAAAAGCAGGGGAAGGGGCTACATCCTATCCACCCATTCCCAAAAAAAGTCTCTTCACACCTGCCCCTGAGCAAGAAGTCAGCCTCTTCCACCACACACACAGCTCCCTCCCCCTGTCAAAGGAAGAGGTACTTACCACCTCATCGGCAATGAAGTCTATGAATCCTGGGAGGATCAGGAAGTCGCTGTGAAGATAGAGAAGTGTTACTAGTGGGGAGGGGTGCCCCAAAGGGGCAGAGCCTGCCATGCCAGAGGACACAGCAGGGGCATGCAGAAAAGCCTACAGGAGCAGAGGCTAGAGCGCTCCCATCCCTACTGCCCCATCACGGCACTTCCCACCTTGTGCCCCCAACTAGAGTCTGGCAAACTCCAGTCCCAAGAGCTAGAGCCAAAGACAGCCAAAAGTCTGCTGGGGCGGAAGGTCTGCTGGGGCGCCATCAAGGCAATAGGCCCAAAATATCCACGGCCTTCAGGGTTCAGAATTTGTCAAGCGACAGAGAAGTTCCCATATTGCCACATGCAGCAGACACAGTGCCTGCCTTTGAAAACTTCTCGATCTTGATGGGGAGACAAAATAAGTAAACACAGAGAACAATTTTGTAGCACAGCACAGCATGAACATGACCCAGCATGGGACAAGCCTTACGCCCCAGCGCCTGGGCTGCTGAGTCACACAAGGCTGGAAACAGCACGAAGGGACCCCAGGGGGCTGAGTGCAGGGCATATTCTGACAGAGCAGGCACTCAACAGAAATGGCTGGGATGGGAATGGGGAGGAAAGGGGCCTCAGAGGTGGGACCAGGACACTGGGGCCCCAGCTAAAGGATGGCATCTGCCAAAACCAGGGTGGGCCACAGTCACAGCAAACCCCGGAAGGGGAGTGCAGGCCTGTGTGGGTACAATCTAGGTGCAAGGCCATAGCTCAGGGCCCCAACCTGCTAAAATCACAGCAGGCCTTGACATACACACCCAAAAGCAAATATCCCACACTCCAGGAACACTCTGAACTGGGCTAAGCAAAGCAGCAGGCATCCCTAGCACAGGAAGGAAAAGCCACAGGGTGGAGGGGAGTGGGTCGTGAATCTGCCCTAAGGCCTAGAGAAACTCCTAGGCGTTCCCCTGGGGAGTTCCCCTACAAGACTTCAGTGACAACTGTATCAAAGGTAGACTCCAATCTCATCACCAAAGACCAGCAAAGAAACAAAGAATGTCAGCTGCTCCCAGCCTTTGGCAGCCCTTCTTCTGTATAGCAAGGAGGCCAAAGGAGAAACGCTGGAGTCTGGGCCTCCTAGCATTTTCTAGGTATTCTATACACCCCTCGCCTACCGGCAGGCAGGAACACACAGTCCTCAGGAGTGGCTGGGTATCCTGGCTGGGTATCCAGGGAAACTGCCCGCCAAGCAGGAGTGCTTACAAGTCAGGGCAGGGCTGGCAGGAGACAAGGCAGGGATGCTCTTGACTGGCCAGCATCCCCACTCTGCCCCTTCTGATGCTCTTTCCTGGCAGGGACACAGTCCTGCAGCCAGGAGGCAGAGCTAGTGCCAGGCCTGCAGCAGGCAGGACAACTGGCCTCAGGCCCACCGAAAAGGCAAATGAAGCCAGAGGCAGACGGGTAGGTCTCTGTCTTCCTCCAAAACCCCATGTGGGGTGGGATGAGGGGTGGCAGTCACAGCATAATTCACGCCTTGGGAGGGGCACCAGGACCAACCTGTGGGCAGGCAGGGACACAACAGGAAAAAGCGCTGGACTGGACGGTTGGAAAAGGAGCCACCCCAACCACCTGGCTGGGTCTCTGCTGGGGCCACGCGGAAGCAGTTGCCTAAGCTGGGCTCCAGGGACCCTCTGCCCTCGTGGTAAAGCTGGGAGGGGACGTCCTGTACCCACGGCTGGGAAAAGTCTCCCCATAACGCCCACATCTCCAGTTCCCACATGCTCAGGGACCCTCCATGCCCCCGAGAGGAAGAAGGGGGTCAGGCCGAGCCCAAATCCAGCCAGAAACGGGTCAGGGCTCTGAGGGCCGCGGTGTCGCTGTGCCACGTCCGTCTGCTCCGGCGCGGGCCTCCTTCCTTCCCGTGCCCAGCCCCCAGCGCCCACAGCAGGCACTCGCACCAGGCCGGGAACGCCGGGGGAGCCGCGCACGTGCAGGGCCGGCCGGGGGGTCGCGGCGCGTGGGTGCGCGCGCCGAGGGGTCCGAGCCCCCACTCTTACTTGTAGGTGAGGCCGTCGGCGCTGGCGAAGAGCTGCTGTGCGGTGAGCCCGTCCTCGGGCACGTAGCCGGTGCCGCCGCTGATCAGGTAGTCCGCCATGCTGCCGCGAGACCCCGCGACCCGACATAAACACCCGCGCGGCCGCCAGCCGCTGCTGCTGCTGCCGCTGCCGCCGCCGCCGCCGCCGCCGCCGCCGCCGCCGCCGCCGCCGCCGCCGCCGCCGCCGCCGCCGCCGCCGCCGCTGCTGCTGACGCCGCGCCGAGGACACGCTGCCGCCGCGGGCCGGGCGGGCCGGGGGCGGGGGCTGCGGCAGCGGCGGGGCGGGCCAGGGCGCCGCCTTCTCTTCCCTCTCCTCCCGCCCCTCCGGCCCCTCCCGCGGAGACAGCTCCGCCCGCGCCGCACAAAGGGCCCCGCAGACCCGGGCCCTGCCGCCGCAGCGCGCACTCCCCCAGTCGCCTGCAGTGGCCTCGCGACCCCGCCAGCCCCGACTGGGGAGGAGGTGGGGCTCGCGGGGAAGAGGACGGGGCCAGGCCAGGACACGCCCCCTCCTCCGCTCCACATCCAGCCTCCCAGGACCCCCAGCAGAGGCCCCACCCCACCCCCGAGTTCTCCCCCGGCCTGGGCCACCCACCTTGCCTTTCTCCCCAGGGTACCTCTCACAAGGTTCTGCCGTTCCCCAATCCCCAGTACTCTTCCCCAGCCCCTGATAAAGGCCCGGAGCCCTGAGAAACCGGTCTGGGCTCTCAGCTCCTCCGCACTAAGGACTTTGCGGTTGGACCGCTATCCGACGTCCCTCCTAGGGAGCCGGCATTCTTCACAATGGCACTCCTCGACCTTTGGGTGGCCTTGGAGCCGTCTGCAGTTTACAAAGCATTTTTCATAAATGATCACATTAACTCCACAATCTATTAATTGCAAAGTATTGGGTACCCCATTCCCTTGACAGGCAAAATCTACAGTTCGGAAAGGGAGGGAGGGGTACTGCTTCTGTACCCCTGTCTCCAGACCAGAAAATGTTCTTGGTACCAGGGCTTTTAACCTCAGAGAGCAGTTTGTTATTTGGGAGGGTCCTGCAGTGAGCGGGAAGATGAAGGAGGACCCTAAGCCTGGCTTAGGCAAGTGTGCATACAAATAAGGACCGGGCTAGGGAACTTCTGAAAAATCCCCAAAGCAGAAGTTGGTGGCCCTGGGTACCCAGAAAGATCCTGATTTCTACACAGGGGCAGTGACTGGGTAGCAGATTGATTCGCATGGGGAAAGGGGGGATGGCAGGATGCCACCCTTCCCTCTTATGGGACCAGAACTCCTCCCTGACCAAAAGCGGGTCCCCCTACCCAGACTCCACAGCCTCCTCCCTGTGTCCTCCTAGGGCTCCCACAGCTCACTTGGAAAGATGACAATAAGGTGGCATGGGACACAGTCCCCTCCCTGGTAGAGTGGCTGGCTGTGGCCCTGGGAGGCTGGGTTTGTTTACCTCTCAGCAGTGTGGTGGCAGCCAGGCCCAGGGGAGGCTTGGCCTCCAAGCCACGAGGTTCCCTGGGATGCCCAGCCTCCCTCATTGATGCCCCCGGGACCCTGCCAGGAAAACACAGACTGTTCCATCTGTGTGCAGAGGGGAGGCTGGGGTCAGCTTGCCAGCGATGCCTGGGAAGCACCTCTGAACCTTCAGCACTCACGGGCTCACAAGGTGAGCCCAGGCCACTTGGGGTACCAGGGGAAAGTCCTGAGGAGCACCAGCACTAGGACCTTTCACTGACCACGTGGAGAAGAGCGATGAGACCAGCCAGAGAAAGTGCCTGATCATTCAGAGCTGTTCTGGGGTGCCTTTCTGGCCACAGAAGAACAGAGCTATCATGCCAACTGCAGGCACGGAGCAGAGACCACCCCAGTGGTCGCTCTTGGTCACTGTCCCCTACAGTATGGGTCAGGAATGGCTAGAGTACTATTCAGGGTTCAACCAGAGCCCGAGGCCGAGGAGAGCAGCTGGATTTGACCATATCAGGTGATCTTTACTGTGACATCTGTCCCAGCCTAGAACTCTGGGACCCAAGGGAGGTGGCTGCCTGGCTGAGGCATGGGGAGGGTCACCTTCCCAGTGATTACAGACTTCACGGCTCCACTCCCCTCTCCTGCTCCCTAACTTGCCTCCCACTTTGACCTGTGTCGGGCTCCTCATCACTCTAAGCTGCTGGGCTCAGCCCTGGGTTAGGCTGTGCTTTTCCAGAGACTCCGCTAATCCACCCCCAACCCCCGCTCTCCACCCTCTTCCTGATCTTCCCCAGCTGCTTCCTCCATGGGGAGGAGACACCGAGGAAACCAGTGAGCCGCTGCAGCCAAGGAAGGGCTGTTGTCCCCTGAGACCCCCACTTAGCAGCTGTGGGGATAGGACGGCAGGTCCAAGCCCTTTTCTCAGGGTAGCAAGGTAGCAGTGCTCAGCTGGGTCCAGGCAGGGAGCCCCAAAAGCTCTATCTGGCCTGGGGCTGTTTGAATGAACAAGATTTCAAAATACTCTTGAAGGGAAGATGGGGGAAGGGGAGAAGAGGTTATAACATTAGCACTGTTGAGCTAGGACGGGGGCATAGCCTGTCCAAGTTCAAGCCAGAGAACGATAACAACGGATTCAAACCCAGGACTGCCTACAGAATCCTGTCCTCTTCCCACAGCTCCAGGTTGGTGAAGGCAGGTGGAGGTCTGGCCAGCAGGTTTTGAATCTCACTACACCACCTGGCTGGGGCTCAGGTTTACACAGGCTCTCTGAGCCAAAGTGGGGGATGTGGATGGGGTTGGAGTGGGGGTAGGGATGGCCCCTTGATGCAGAACTGCAGTTTGGAGAAGGGGCGCACTCACATGGCTTGGGCCTGAGCTCTGAAACAGTATGTTTGCAATCCCTGCTCTAACCAACCCCTGCCTACATCAAGCCCCAACTGGCTCCTTCAGCCCATGGGGCCCCTCCCCATCACCCTGGGCTCTGAAGCCCAGGAGCTGGAATTTTAGGATGGGAGAAAGTCTGGGGGTTGCCTAAGCCTGAGTCAATTCTAGAGAGGCAGCCTGCCCGCACAGGAGGGGCCTAACGCAGCAGACCACTGCCCAGGAGCCCCTTAAGCCATTAAAAGTTCTTACATAAGCGGCCAGCCCCTGGGCAGAGCTGCTGGGCTAATTCCCCCAGACCGCCCCCCCAAACCCAGCTGTCGGATCACCTCCCCAAGCTGCTATACACCAGCAGATGGACAGAGAAATAAGTCCAAATCCTCTAGACCGGAAGGACAGTGGGATTGCATTTCAAGCTGTGATACAATCCAGAGATTAGCTGCTGTCTCCTTTCCAGCCAGTCCCCCTGGGGCCCAGCTCACTACCCTACTCTTCCTCCAGTGACCCTCATTCCCCGACAGACCCCAGCACGAGGGCCTACGTCTTCCCAGAGACCTTGAGGTGAGCTGCCCTGCCAGCCTCATCAGATCTCAGTGCATGTTGAGGAGGGAGAGTGTCCTCGCCTAGCCCTGCGAAGGCGATCCATCTGGACACCTACACCTGCCAGTAAGACCACTGAAGATAGTTCTAGGAGGAAACAGCTAAGGAGGGGTAAGCAAGTCGGACAGGGACTCCAACAAGCACTGTTTGAACCCCCGGGGCTGGAGCCACCTGAACGGGGTGTCGTCGGGTGTGTAGCGAGGTCCAATCTAGGACTAAGATTTTAGGAAACGTTTTGACGACCTGCTCCCTCTCCTCTGCTCCCCCGTGCAACGAAGCACCTAATCCTTCGCACAGTGCCCGCCTGGATCCCCCAACCAAAGCCGGGAACGTGGCGTTTCGGAAAGTTGGAGGCTGAGGCGGTAAGAGGGAAAGGGTGTGTGGGGCCTGCCCCTCCCCTCCCCCGCAGCACCGCCCGGTTCCCAGAGCCGCCGCGCCCTCCTCGGCCGCCCGCCCCGGATGCGCCCCGCGCGCTCTGCCCTGGGCGTCACCTCTCTGGCTCGTAGCCGGCCTGCAGCAGTCGGGCGCTGTACCGCTGCGCCGCCGTCTCGTGTCCCGGGTGTTGCCGGGCTCCGGGCTCCGGAACGGCGGCGGCTCCGCCTCCCTGCAGCGGTAGCGGAATGAGCGGCCCCTCCATGCGGAGGCCGCAGCTCAGGGCGGGCGGGAGCCTCTCCGCCTGGAGGCTCCCCCGGCCCGGGCTGGGCATTGAGCGCAGCCCGATCTGGTCCCGGGGAGGGGCGGGGCCGCTGGGGCGGGGCCTCGTGTCGGGGGCGGGGCCGGGGAATCCGGGAGTCGACTGGGCTCCGCCCTGGGCTCCCAGCTCTCCGCACCGCCACGCGGATGCCTAGACTCGGTCCGTCTCTCCCATCCCGGATTCAGCGAGGGTATATCGGGGGATGAGGGGCAGAGGCGTCCCCACACGGGTGGAACTGGAAAGGATCCCGTCCCTTCCCTGCTGTCCGGACCTTCCAGTGTCTCGAGGGCCCTTCCGAGGAAAACCAGAAGCGGACAGGAGCGGGCCGCCGGAGGCAGGGCTTCTCCTCGCGTCTCGGATCCGCTCCTCTCCTGCACACCGACGGTGCCAGGTCTCCTGGAGCGCCTCCTACCCGCCGGCCGCAGACCTCCCGCCCCAGCGCGGGAGGTGGGGCACTCTCCATCTGCCTGTGCCTGCTCAGCCGACCCCACGTTCGAGAGCAGGGCGAGAGAGTTCCACAGCCTGTCATCTGCCAGGGAACGAACAGAACAGACAAGGCTGCGGGCTCCTTAAGGAACAGGACCTAGTCTTGCCTCGTGGTGGAGATACTTTGCCTTGTGATGTTACCCCGTAACAAGGGAGGGGGGCAGAGCAATGTACTCCAGCTTGTTTGTCCACTTCTTGGAAAGCGCACTTTTTCCTACTGTTACCATTGTGAACAGTGATTGAACACCTACCAAAACTGGCAAAGAAATGTTAAGACTCCCTGCCCTCAGGCAGTTTATTTCAGGAGACAGAGTAGATGAAAATAAACAGCTGGCAATTCTCATGCCATGTACAGATGGTCCTCGACTTACAATGGTCGACTTATGATTTTTCAACCTTACGGATGGATTTATCCAGAAGTAGCCCCATCTTTAAGTAAGTCGAGAAGCATCTGGACTTTTAAACGAAGTCTGACAAGTCTGAGGGAATAAATGGTAAACACTACGTGATTGGGGGGTGCTAAAGATGTATTAGGGGTCAGACTTTCAGTAACTTTTTTTTTTTTTTTTTTTTTTTTTTGATACGGAGTCTCACTCTGTCATCAGGCTGGAGTGCAGCTCCTGGGCTGGGTTCAAGAGATTCTCCTGCCTCAGCTTCCCAAGTAGCTGGGATTGCTGGTGCCCGCCACTACGCCCAGCTAATTTTTTGTATTTTTAGTAGAGACAGGGTTTCACCATGTTGGCCAGGCTGGTCTTGAACTCCTGACCTTGTGACCCGCCCCTCTCCGCCTCCCAAAGTGCTGGGATTATAGCCATGAGCCACCGCGCCCAGCCTCAGCAACTATTTCACGAAGGAAACTGAATTTATGCAACAGTAAGGTCTTGGACTTTATCCTTCATGGTGCCTCTTCCTAAGCAGATACACACCCACTCCCCAGAATCAGGATTCTTTAAAAAAAAAAAAATTAAAAAAAAGTTTTGGACCGGGCACGGTGGCTCATGCCTGTAATCCTAGCACTTTGGGAGGCCGAGGTGGGCGAATCACAAGGTCGAGAGATCGAGACCATCCTGGCCAACATGGCTAAAGATGGGTGAAACCCATCTTTACTAAAAATACAAAAATGAGCTGCGCGTCGTGGAATGTACCTGCAGTCCCAGCTACTCGGGAAGCTGAGGCAGGAGAATTGCTTTAATCCGGGAGGCGGAGGTTGCAGTGAGCGGAAATGGCACCACTGCACTCCAGCCTGGCGCATGGAGACAGAGCAAGACTCTGTCTAAAAAAAAAAAAAAAAAGTTTAAAAAATTTAGGTCCGGCACGGTGGCTCACACATGAAATCCCAGCACCTTGGGAGGCTGAGATGGTCAGATCACCTGAGGTCAAGAGTTTCAGACCAGCCTGGCCAACATGGCTAAACCCCATCTCTACTAAAACATACAAAAATTAGGCCGGGCGCAGTGGCTTATGCCTGTAATCCCAGCACTTCAAAAAGCTGAAGCAGGTAGATCATGAGGTTAATAGTTCAAGATCAGCCTAGCCAACATGGTGAAACCCTGTCTCTACTAAAAATACAAAAATTAGCTGGGCATGGTGGCGCACGCCTGTAGTCCCAGCTACTCAGGAGGCTGAGGCAGGAGAATCATTTCAATCTGGGAGGCAGAGGTTGCAGTGAGCCAAGATTGCACCACTGCACTCCAGCCTGGCAACAGAGGGAGACTCTGTCTCAAAAAAAAAAAAAAAAAAAAAAAAAATTAGCCAGGCGTGGTAGCATATGCCTGTAGTCCCCGTTACTCAGGAGGCTAAGGCTTAAACCTGGGAGGCTGAGGTTCTCGTGAGCCAAGATTGGGCTACTGCACTCCAGCCTGGATGACAGAGTGAGACTGTCTCAACAACAACAAAAAAGCTAAAATTAATTCATTGATTATATTCAATGCCCTCTGATACTTTGTATTCTGTCTCCTGTTTTGGTGAGGGGCCCAATAAATTGATTTTGGACTCACCATTTAAAAAATAGTACCCTAAAGCCAAAGGTTTCTGTTTGGAAATAAGCAGATAAGGTACCCATATGTGTTTACAAAGACTCTGAAGGAGAAACTAGTCAAAACCAATCAATTACTCAACAGATGAAACTTAGAACTAGCTATAGCCTAAACTTTAAATGATTGTCTGTAAACATGTTAACTGCTGAGAAAACCCAAATCCAAATAAAGTTACCAGGACAGTAAGAATGACATGAAAGATAACTGTAACATAATTAAATGCATTGTAACCCAGTGAACCGTGTTGTGAGATGAAGACAGTGTGCTGGAGGAGAAAAAAAAAAGGGTGACAGAGCAAGACTCTGTCTCAAAAAAATAAAATCATGGAAAAATGGAATTGAAAGATAAGAAGAAAAAAATAAACTTTATTTTCAACATAAGCTCCATCAAGTTCAAGACACATTCCTAAGCCATGATACCAGCCATTTCATCCATCCCTAAAGAACTTAAGGTCTTTGGAATTTAAGCAAGTCAGTGCAGTCTTTTTTTTTTTTTTTTTTTTGAGACGGAGTTTTGCTCTTGTTACCCAGGCTGGAGTGCAATGGCACGATCTCGGCTCACCGCAACCTCCGCCTCCTGGGTTCAGGCAATTCTCCTGCCTCAGCCTCCTGAGGAGCTGGGATTACAGGCACGTGCCACCATGCCCAGCTAATTTTTTGTATTTTTAGTAGAGATGGGGTTTCACCATGTTGACCAAGGATGGTCTCGATCTCTTGACCTCGTGATCCACCCGCCTCGGCCTCCCAAAGTGCGCTGGGATTACAGGCTTGAGCCACCGCGCCCGGCTTTTTTTTTTTTTACATTACTAATTGAAGAAAAATAGGAGCCCTTTAAGGATTTTTTTTTCTTTTTTCTTTTTTCTCTCTCTTTTTTTTTTTTTTTTTTTTTTTGAGACGGAGTTTCGCTCTTGTTACCCAGGCTGGAGTGCAATGGCACGATCTCGGCTCACCACAACCTCCGCCTCCTGGGTTCAAGCAATTCTCCTGCCTGAGCCTCCCAAATAGCTGAGATTACAGGCACACACCACCATGCCCAGCCAATCCTTTTTTTTTTTTTTTTTTTTTTTTGCAAGACAGAGTCCCGCTCTGTCACTCAGGCTGGAGTGCAGTGGGGGTGATGTTGGCTTACTGCAACCTCCTCCTCACAGGATCAAGCAACTCTCTTGCCTCAGACTTCCCAGTAACTGGGATTATAGGCCTGGACCACCACACCCAACTAGTTTTGTATTTTTAATAGAGACACGGTTTTGCCATGTTGGCCAGGCTGGTCGAAACTCCTGACCTCAGGTGATCCACCAGCCTCAGCCTCCCAAAGTGCTGGGATTAAAGGTTAAAGGTGTGAGCCACCCAGCCAAGATTTTTTTTTTTTTTTTTTTTTTTTGAGACGGAGTTTCGCTCTTGTTGCCCAGGCTGGAGTGCAATGGCGCGATCTAGGCTCACCGCAACCTCCGCCTCCTGGGTTCAGGCAATTCTCCTGCCTCAGCCTCCTGAGTAGCTGGGATTACAGGCACACGCCACCATGCCCAGCTAATTTTTAGTATTTTTAGTAGAGACGGGGTTTCACCATGTTGACCAGGATGGTCTCGATCTCTTGACCTCGTGATCCGCCCGCCCCGGCCTCCCAAAGTGCTGGGATTACAGGCTTGAGCCACCGCGCCCGGCAAGATTTTTTTTTTTTTTTAAGGTAGAGTCTCACTCTGTTGCCAGGCTGGAGTACAATGGCACAATCTCGGCTCACCTCAACCTCTGACTCCCTAGTTCAAGCGAGTCTCCTGCCTCAGCCTCTGGGATTACAGGCACATGGCACCATGCCCAGCTAATTTTTGTATTTTTAGTAGAGATGGGGTTTCACTATGTTGGCCAGGATGGTCTTGATCTCCTGACCTTGTGATCCACCTGCCTCAGCCATCCAAAGTGCTGGGATTACAGGCATGAGCCGCTGCGTCCAGCCAAGATTTTTTTTTAAGATTAGGAAACAAAACCAAGTCAGAAGGAGCCAAATTAGGACTGTGAGGTGGATGCCTCATGATTTCCCATTAACACGTTTGAAAACTTGCCTTTGTTCAATGAGAGGAGTGAGCAGGAGGCACTGTGATGGAGAAGGGCTCTCTGTTGAAGCTTTCTCTCAGGCATTTTTCTGCTAAAGGTTTGGCTAACTTTCTCAGAACACCCTCACAATAAGCAGATGTTATCATTCTTTGGCCCTCCAGAAAGTCAGCAAGAAAAATTCCTTGTGCATCTCAAATAACTGTTGCCACAACCTTTGCCATTGACAAGCTCCACTTTGGCTGTGACTGGACCACTTTCACCTCTTGGTAGCCATTGCTTTTATTGTGTTTTGTCTTCAGGATTGTATTGCAAAAGCTATCTTTTTTTTTTTTTTTTTTTTTTTTTTTTGAGACAGAGTTTCCCTCTTATTACCCAGGCTGGAGTGCAATGGCGCATCTTGGCTCACCGCAACCTCTGCCTCCTGGGTTCAAGCAATTCTCCTGCCTCAGCCTCCCGAGTAGCTGGGACTACAGGTGTGTGCCACCATGCCCAGCTAATTTTTGTATTTTTAGTAGAGACGGAATTTCACCATGTTGACTATGATGGTCTCGATCTCTTGATTCACCCACCTGGGCCTCCTAAAGTCCTGGGATTACAGGCGTGAGCCACCATGCCCAGCCTGTTTCTTCTCTTTTACAAGTCTTCAAAGAAACGCTTCAGCATCTTGATCTCACATGTTTAAAATTTCCATTGAATGTTCTGCTCTTATCTGTGGCTGCTTTGGACACAGACCTCCTAAGCTAGGGCAAAATAGGTGGAAGATACTATCCATCTCCCTTTGCCTACTCAACAGACTTCAACTTAGATGGGAGAAAAATAGGTTTTCACCCGCCACTGAGGAACAGTTTTGGCACCCATTGAGTGGAAAGTTTGCTCAACTTTAATTTTTTTCAGTCAGAACTGTGTAAACGGAACCAATTGAGATATCTATGATGTTGGCTATTGTTTTTGCTGTTAAT